AAAAATAGATACATGATGAGTATAATAATATAAATACAAAGAACAACCATAAAACAACTGAAAATGAATGTTGCAAAATTACAAAGAACAAGCTTGGTCCCAAAGAAGAGATGAGAAGACATCTCACCCACACCTTTGCGAAGGTGAGGGGTCCACAGGTGTGGAATATTGCATATGATGTCAGATGTTTTTCAATGTATTGACCAAGGGGCAGCTAGGTGGTGAAGTGGATAGAGCACTGGCCCTGAAGTCAGGCGGACCTGAGTTCAAAAATCTGCCCTTAGACCAAACAGTTGACACATACTAGCTGTGTGACCCTGGGCAAGTCACTTAACCCCAAATGCCTTAAAAAAAAACCCAAACAATATGTTGACCAAGTTAACTAACATTTTTCTCTTTTTCTTTTTTTGTTTAAAAGCTTTTCTTTATTATAAGGATGGCTCTTTGGGAGGAGAGAGGGAGACAAGGGAAATCTAGGTGATGTAAGAAACAAAATACCAATAAAAATCTATTAAAAATAAAACGCATCAGCAAAAATGTAATGAATTAAGTAGACATATTTAAGACAGAATTGAGAAAGGGCCACGAATGGCTAGGAAACAGAGTGGATGGGTGGAAGGAAATCAGGGCAATTGCCAATAAATAGAAAGAAGTTTTTCAAAGACCTAAACATTTTTTGTATCATCAGATATATTAGCAAACAAGTGCCTTCAATATAACAAACACTTCATAAATGTTTGCCAAATTAACTAGAAATACTGGCTCCATACTTGCCTCATCTACCTTCCCTAATAATATGCTATTAAACACATAGCAGAGTTCACTGTCTAGTAACCCCAATAACTGTTTATTACAACCAACCTGTGCCCTCTGCAATCCATGGCTCTTGGTCCCTGACTAACCTAAGGTATACCATGATGACATAACCCCATCACCATAATAGGTTAGTAGATGGATTCTCTCAACATTTAAACTGATATTATCCACGAGCCACGGAGAGAATCAGAAAACCTAATGTCAGATCATATCAGCATCACTGTGAAGTCACTTTCTATAGTGGGGAACTGATTTTATAAACAGTAAAACTGTCGTCACTTAGTAATGCTTAAGCTGAAGGTAAATTAAAGAAGGCTATGACATCATTCTGAATGAAAGAAGGACTGTCCTATTATTCCTTAACATTCTTCCTATTTACTCCTTACCTGGAAGTGTTAAATAACAAATCCCCTTAATAAAAGGATTTGTTCTGTAAAACCTAGACTCAGTCAAAAAGCCACACTCAAGGACTTAGAAGGTCACCGGCAACCTCAAGGCCACAGGTTCCCCATCCCTGACCTAGACTATTCACCACGTTTCAAGACTCATGGTGGAACACCAATTAGAACTGATAGGAAAAAAGCAAGTCAACAAGCATTTTTTAAACACCTACATCCATATCCATGGAATTTCAAGGGAGCAAGGTAGGAGGAGAGGGTAGGAGAGAAAAAGATGTTATGGGCATCATAGGGTAAGTAGGTGATGCAGTGAAAACAGTAGCAGGCCTGAAGACAGACAACCCAAGTTCAAATCCAACTTCAGACACTTAGTTATGTGACCAAGTCACTTAGCCTCTGTTTGCTTCAGTTTCCTCATCTGTAAAATGGAGAAAATAAATCTACTTCTCAAGGCTGTTATAAGGATAAAAAGTCACAATATTTATAAAGAGCTTTAAACATTAAAGTGCCATATAAATGCTAGCTATTATTATTATTACGCTTGTATTTAGTCAAGCTAACTGAAAGGTCATGACTATTTAAGCAACTAAAGAATATTTAGAAGCATGGTAGTCATTTAGATGTAATGTTTTTCAGTTGTTTTTCAGTAGTGTCAAGCTCTTCATGACCCCATTTGGGGTTTTCTAGGCAAAGATACTAGAGGGGTTTGCCATTTCCTTCTCCAGCTCATTTTACACATCAGGAAACTAAGGCAGGGTTAAGTGATTTGCCCAAGGTCAAATAGGAAGTGTTTGCAGTCAGATTTTGAACTCACATCCTCCTGACTCCAGATCCAGAGCTCTATCCACCGTACCACATAGCTGCCCCAAATATAATGTACAATAGTATTTAAATCTATTCATAAAATATCAAGCCAACTGCCCTATTCACCTTTACTACAAGGCCTCCAAGCCTTTTCATAGGCTGTCCTCTATCCCTCAGAATGCCTCCCTTCTTCATATCTGCCTCTTGGAACTCCTGGCTCCTTTTAAAGGTCAATTTAAATGCTAATTCCTTTAAGGGGCCTCTCCTGATTCCACCAGTTCTTAGTCCCCCTCCCCACCATGTACTCATTTTGTATATATTTATTCCGTTTATTTACTATCCTAACCCCAGCAGAACATTAGCTCCCTGAAGAACTGTCTCATTTTTATGATTTTTTACACCCAAGACCTAACACAGTGCCTGCAGCATAGTAGACACTTAAAAGATGCTTGCTGCTTAATGGGACTGACAGAAGTTAAAAGCTTCGCCAACTGCCACCTCCGACACTGTTTAACAAAAACTACAGTTATCCTAAAAAAAGAAACATGATCAAAACAGGAATTAAAGTTCTGTCAACACTGCTCTCACCTCAGAGAAGAACTTTAAAAAATTCCAATACTTAAGAGCAAAAGACATCACATCTGTCCAACATCCCTAGAGCATCATAATACTAAAGTGATATGGACCAGTTTTTTGGCTTTTAGTCACATCAGACAAAAAGATGCATTGTTTACTTATTTTCCTAACAATAAAATTCATGAGAATTGCTAATCCAATAACAGTTTTAAAATAACACACATCTGACTTGTTTAAGAAGCACTGATACAGATAAGCTTAGCTTTCCTGAGGCATTTACATTTTCTGGTAAATACAGAAAGGAAGATAAAATCTAAAGAGCTGACTGAAGTGGAATAGGACTTAAACTACCCAAATATTTCAAGAATTTACTGAAATTTCAATAACCTACAATTACAAGTATTGGAAAAGCAATAACCACAAATGTCAAAGGCAAATATTTAAACAGGTGCATCAATGATGAAGTTCCATGCATAACATTAGAGCTGACATTTACTATCTGTTAAGTACTTTCAAAGTGCAATGGGGTAAGTCAAATAACACGTTTACAGTGTTAAGTTCATGGCAATACCTAATATGACTGGAGAGACCTATAGAAGGTGTGATGTTTGTCAAAACTTTCACTCTGCAAGAGGTGGGCGGAATTCTGACAAGACCTAGGTCCTGCACAAGTATCTTTTCTAATTTTCAATGGGGAAACCTAAGCTGATACCTTCATGGATAATTTAACAAGGATCATTCCATGAATCTATAATGTCATTTATAACTTTCTTATAATCGCCTTTAATAGCCTTCACAAGTAATATATGAGAGGCAGAGGCAAACTAGAGCATGAAAGATAACAGCAACTATATTCCAGGGCTATTTCTACTTCAGATCTTAGAGAAGGGACTTTAGAAGGGGAAGCAATTTAAATAGTCTGGTTATTAACTTCTCTGACCACATTCCATAAATAACTGAAGAAGAAATTTCAGAAAGAGGTAAAAGTCCAAAAGGGCTAAGTTATTCTTGATTACTGTTTTATTATATTATTACAACTGGCCAAATTCACCCTCCTATAACTAATAACAATCAACTTACTCTTAAAAAAGAAAAAAAAAAGTGAGAAAGGACAGAGATGTAAAATGTGAACACTACATATTATTTAATTTAAATAAATTCCAAAATGGCTTAGATATTAAATATACACACATATACCCATATATATTGTTTTTTTTAACATCTACAGGCAAGGAAAAAGCAGAAGCTTCCCCAAGGCCTGGGAATGGGAGCTAATAGACACTATACTAGGTCTCCAACGGCTAAGAGACCAACAGGTCCCCTTCAGCCACCTTGGCTACAGAATAGTTTCAAGATCTGGAAGATAAGGAAACTGCCCAGTTCAAGATCTCAAAGAAAAGGCAGTTACTTACTATTAGGTAATGAAGCATAGAGTCTACATTTCTAAGAATGGGAAGGTGGTGGAAGTCTAGTCAGCTACTGAACTGTATACATTATTACATTCTCTTAGAAGGGTGTACACATCTTTCCAGGCTTAATCTTTCCAGCAGAGACAGCCTGCCAAAGTCTGACTTCTAATGGGTGGGCTTGGGCTCCCTACACTGTATATAGTTGTAAACTCCAACTATGAGAAGGGGGTGGGGGTTAGGAAGTACTACTGACAGAGATGTCTACAGGTAGCCTGGGTAACTCAGCTTCCCTTCTCCCCCACTTCAAGTCTTTTGTTTTGGAAAGCAAAGCCTCCTCTGAAAATGCCTTCTGTCTGTCCCCCACCCTGGCTCTTAATCTCTTTGTGACTGTTAGGAGCTCATGGGAGGAGGAGGACAACAAACCCCAGCCTGACATCTCTCCCAGCACTGGGGGGCCAATCCATCCCCCTCTTTTGGTCCTAGGGGAGACAGGTTAAATGGAGAGCTAGCTGGCTGGCCAGGACGGCCTATGAGGGAGTGTTTCAGACCCTCCCTTCCCTCCCCTCGCTCCTGCACCCGGGAGTGCTCGGAGGTCCAGCCCCCCGCACTCCCGGTTAAGTGAGGGTGGGAAGAGGGGCCCTGGCACAGGGAGAGGGGGCTCATCCCTGCACCAGGCTGCCTTCCCTAAGAGCCGAGGATGCACGACGAGCTCCCCCAGAGCCGGCGCTGCCGCAGGTTCAAACCCACTCCCAGCGCCCAGCCGTTCCCCCAGTCTCCCGGGGCTGCAGCTCGCCCCGCACTGGGCAGCAGCAGCCGCCGCTCCCCGGTCTCCCGGACAACAAACGCCGCCGCCGCAGCTCTAGCCTGCGGCTGACCATTCACTACTCCCAGACGCCCTCAGCCCTCAGCCAGCAGGATGAGCTGGGAGGATGAGGGGGAGGGAAGGGGTTTCCCCGGCCCCAGCTCCCCGCCCCGGTCCGGCCCCCCGCACCCCTACCTGTCCCGGGGGTCGATCCAGCTGGTCTTCTTGGTGTTGTGGTCGATGTAGAAGACCTTGCCGTCGTAGTCCCTGGCCTCCTCCCAGCCCTGGGGGAGCGGCAGCTGCCCATTCCCGGCTTTCCTAGGCATGGTCTTCGGCGGCCCCCCTGGGGCACAGCTCCTCCATAGGGACCGGGCAGAGGGCACCGGGCGGGAACACAACGACAGCCCGGCCCCGGGAGCCCCGCGGGCAGCGGACACGGCACCGCACGGCACTGCACGGCACGGGGAAGGGAAGGGTGCAGGGGGGCGGGGTGCACGGGAGGGGCGGGGTGCAGGGGGCGGGGTGCACGGGAGGGGGGACCCCGACACGGGGGCTGGGGGGTGGGGGCGTTCAGGAAATCCTGCTCCCTGCCCTGCTTGGGATCAGTCCACCATGTCTACTTCGGAGCAGGAGACTGATTAGGATTACCCCCCTCCTCCTCGCCACTGCCTCCGCCTCTTCCTCCTCCTCCTCCTCCTCCTCCTCCTCGTCCTCCTCCCGGTCCCCCCGCGGGCCGCCCGACTCGCCGCCGTCTGGGCTGGGATCCGGGAAAAGCAGCGTCTTCTCGGCGGCGGCGGCGACCGGGGCCGAGGATCCTGCTCATTTGCATAGGATTAGTATCCTGCCCCGCCCCTCCCGGCTCCAGCCCCACCCCCCTCCCCTCCCCTCTGCTCATCTGCATGCACATTCCTCGCCGCCGCATTCCTCGGGCTTAACCCTGCGGCTCCCGCGACCCTCTGCAGCGCCCCGGAGCTCTCCCTGCCCGGGCAAGGGGGTCAGGGGAAGGGAGGGTGAGGCTAAGTGGGAAGAAAGAGAAAGAATTTTAAAATCAGCGAGTCCTTCTCCTCCCTCCCACCGCCTCACAAAAACCTGAACACCTCTTTTTTTTTTCCTAGAATGGGAGAGATTGCAAAAGGGAAACTATTGCATTTCCTCCCTCTCTCTTCCCAAAGCCTCTCAACTTCCCTCTTGGTTCCTGGAGGAACCACAGGATTCTAAATATGAAAGAGGAGGAAGGGGAATCTCCCCTTCGGGTGAGAAAATTCGTGTCCCACCGAGATCCCCAACGTACAAATAGATTCCAAGTCCCCGCCTAGCTCCCCCCTTTCCTTCCTACAATCCAGTTTCTTGGTGTGTAAGTCCTTTGGGGGAGGGAAAGTAGGAAGCTGGGTGCCCTTGCTTGCTGGATTTTTTTAAGGGGTGGGGGGAGGTTATCTGCAGTCTTCAGTCTCAATAAAACCCCAGGCACTTTGGTGGCTGTTGCGTAAAAGGTTTATTTTTCACGATTTTCCCCAAAGTGACCCCCCTGGTATCTGTTCACTTCTGAAAAGGTGAGCATTGTTTCTTAGGGAAGGGTAAACAACTCCTTGGAGTGAAGCAGGTAAAGGCTTGACCCTTACAGCTTAGTCCTACATGTGTGTTGACTACAATACTGCCTCTTCTCTCTGCCCGTTAGTGGGGTTCAGGTTTATCCCCAGGAAGGGACAAAGGAAGCCAGGCTTTGGAAACTAGTTGCACAATAAACTGCTCCCCATTGGTGTCCGGGCTAGGAGCGTAACAGGTCAAATGCAGGATGACACCCTCACACTCCAATCTCTTCAACTTCTGGGAAGCCTGGCAGGTTGATGAGGTCAAATGCAACAGAAAATTCTTGCTATGCTGTGAATGTCCTCATTGTTAACCAGGTAACAAAAGTCAAAGGATCGCCTCATGCTTTCATTCCAAGACAATTCTGTTCTAGTTGTACTTCTGGTGAGAATGCTTCAGGCTGTGGGTTAAGTAGTTCAGAAAAGACCCTCTAGGAGAGCATGGTCGGAGAAGGAAGAAGTGCGCAATCAGAATTATAAAGTCTGCCCAGGGGACGGGCCAGCGTGTCCTCCGAGCCCCGTAGACTTTTAAAGACTCCTGGTTCTCACCCTAGATGAAACGATAAATTTTTAAATCAATCTTTGGGTAGACATTTATCAGGCATCTACCATGTGTTGGGTAAATATAAGGAGCTATCCCTGCTCTCACACAGTTTTACAATTTACTTGAGAAAGCAGCACATTATAAACAATAAAAGACAAAGAAAAATTAAATTTTGCGGTAAAAATAATAAAAGTGTTTTAACAATTCAGAGAAGAAGGAAATCAATGAGGATTGGAATAATTAAGAAACTGTCACCTTGGACAAATCTCTGGATCTCATTACTTAAACTTTAAAATAAGGGTATTGGCCTACATGATCTTAAAAGTCTCTTCCAGCTCCAAAATTTCTCGAGTCTAATCTTTAGACTTACTCTGGAATTAGTCCTTTATCGTTCAATCAACAAGTATTTATTAAGCAACAAGTACTTATATGCCAGACACTGTGCTAGGCACTGGAGATAAAGACAATGAATGAAACAATCCCTACTATTAAAGACTTTTAAGGAGGAAACAAAAACATATTTAAGTTGATGTTCAGCCCTGCTACTTGCATATATGTTGTTGTGTTGAGTCATTTCAGTAGTGTCCGAGTTGTTGTGACCCCATTTGAGGTTTTCTTGACAAAGAAAACCAGCTCATTTGACAGATGAGGAAACTGAGGCAAGCAGGGTTGAGTGACTTGCCCAAGGTCAAATAGCTAGTAAAAATCTGAGGTCAAATTTGAACTCAGGTCTTCCCAACACAGGCCCAGTGCTTTATCCACAGTGCCACCTAGCTGCACCCTAGAATAGAATCAGATCTAGAGCAGGGATGCGGAAACTGTGGCCTTGAGGCCTCTGATCTAGAGCAAAGAAGGTACCTAAGAGGCCATATAATTCAATCTGCTAAATTTAGTTAAGGAAACTGAGGCCCAGAGAGATTGAGTGACTTGCCTAGGATAATATAAATTGTAAATTGCAAAAAAAAAAAGAGAGAGAGAGAGATTTGAACTCAGCGCCTCAGACTACAAATCTAATTTTTCCACTGTACCAGGCTAGGTAGAGTCAATGCAGGAGGTATCATCAGAAGAGCATTTCTGGAGAGAGCTAGGAAGAAAGTAGGGAGAGGAAGAACTAGAAGGCCCCTCTGAAAACCCCTGAGCTACTTGAAAGAACTCAGGTGGCTGGATTTTCCTGGTTTTTCAACAGAGATTAAAAATGGTCTAAGTATACTGGGCAAAGATAGCCAAGGCATTAGTGGTTCCTAGGGAATACTTGGAAATTACATTCTTTCCCATATCCAAAGAAAGTATGAACACATCTGCTGAAAGAAAAAAAGTTATTTCAATTTAAAGGAGTAGCAATTAACAACATTACAAAAATGATAATTGCTAATGTATAGGGACTTTAATAGTGACTACAAGAGCAGCCTAAACACTCTGGAAGTGCCAGCCGGGCTTGGCATCTGACAAGGCACTGTACCCCCACCTCCCTCTGTCTGTGCTGACTTGCTTACTCCCAACTTGACTTACTGTGAAGTCTGGGGGTGGGGGGGGTTGTTTTATTCTTCCTCAGAGTGAAGCTGAATACATCTGCTTCTCTGGCTCATCCTGCTCCTCCATCTCCCCAACCCCCATGTACCTGTAATCCAGTGACACTGACTTTCTTGCAGTTCCCTGAACAACAAACTCTTAATCTCTTGACTCCAGGTGTTTTCACTGACTGTTCCCCATGCCTGGAATGCTCTTACTCCTTATCTCTGCTTCTTGGCTTCACTGGATTCCTTCAAGTCCCAGCTAAAATCCTACCTTCTTTTACAAGAATTCAGACTTCTATGGAAACACTTCATTCTCTTTCCTCTGTTGATTAGCTCCAATTTCTCCTGTATGTAGCTTGTTTGTACATAATTGTTTGTGAACTCCTTGGGAGCAGAGACTCTTTCCTTTCTTTGTATCCCCATGACTTAGCACAATGCCTGGTCTATAGTAAATACTTTATAAATATTTATTTACCAACCAATTGATAACATTTACTCAACAGAAGGCAAAAGCTTGAATGATAAAGCATTCACAATTATTTAAGAGAAGGCAAAAGCAGAAATTATTAAAACTTTTCAACCCATCTATATTCCTGGGTTATATTTTCCTACCAATGCCAATAGTACTTGTGGGAGAGAGAGGAATACACTTATAGAAACCTAATAGGAAGACATATAAGTTGTAAACCTACATGTTGGGGTATCTTACAACCCTGGACTACAACCTTTGGTATATCTGGTCCCTTTAGGAACAATCTGCACCCCATGAAGCTGTTTCTCTACTACCTGCCCTCTTTCTGGTCCTGAACACTCTCCTATTCCTTTTCTGCTTTCAATCCAAAGAAAGCAATAATAAGATCTCTTCTCTTGTAGTCACCCTTGATAAAGATAGAAGAAATAGTGTTGAGTTCTTTCAGCGACAAGAAATCCCTTTAAGCTCCTCAGCTTCGCAAATACTAGGGAATTTTGCTTCATCCAATCCATTCCAAGCCTCTTCTCACAGTAAAGAACAACTCATAGCAACACATATGCAAAGCCTGTTTTTTCCCCCTATGTTTCTTCCTCTTAACCAGAGAGGGTATTAGACACCAACTTTGCACCCCTCTCTCAGGGGGCAGAAGGGGCTGGAGAGCAAAATAAGTTCTAATACCTGTGCACACCTTAGCAGGATTCAACTCTCTTTCAAATAGCAGAGCAGCTGAAGAGCTCATTCTTTCTCTAGTCAATGATCAAAGTAATCTTTCTCTTCCAATCAGCAGGCTCCCAGCAAAGCAGCTACAAAATCTTCTTGTCAGATTTTGTATTCTGTCTTCTGTAAAAAATCTTTCTCATTGCCTTCTTGATATTTTTCCAGAGCTCAATGTAAAGTGCCAGGCCTCGAGCCAGGAAAACCAGAGTTCAAATCCATCCTCAGACACTTATTGGCTGTGTGACCCTGGGCAAGTCACTTTAACCTCTGCTTGCTTCAGTTTCCTCATGTATAAAATGGGGAGAATAATAGCACCTACTTCCCAGGGTTATTGTGAGAATCAAATGAGATGATAATTATAAAATGCCTGGCACATAGTAAGTGGTATACAAATATTACCTAATACTAGCTACTTCTTCCTCTCTGTAGCTTTTCACATGGCTTCTGCTGCTGGCTTCAAATTAGGGCCTCCCAGTTTTCAGTGACCCATCTTCATAAGGCAAAACTCTAAAAAGCCACTCCTGTCATCTAGGAGTGCTTATATAATCTTCCTGTAACCCACAGTTATTTGGTTTATGATTCTTCAGTTATAAACTTCAAAACTCTAAAAACAGTCACATATTAATAAGCTGATAGAATACAATGGTCTGTAGACACTGCTTTGCCTTCATCT